AGTGACTTTGATAGATGAATACTTTGTCAGTAATGGAATGAAATGAGCAGATTTGGACACTTATCAATGATAGCCAATATAATGGTACAATCACATGAGTTTAGTAACCCGATAATATAATTCATTGATATGTCTTCCCACACATTTGGAGAAACAGGGAGTGGGAAAAACAAGTATGTTGGTGGCTTTTAAGTGGTTTTATTTATTGAAAAGTTATGCCATTAATGACAGATTTCTTGACAAAAATATGTATTTTTATTGGTTTTGCGTACAATCTGATTGTGTTGGATTTTACAATCAGGGGCTAGTGTTCCTCCTAGTTAGGCATCAGGGGCCTTGTCCCGGAATCTTGCCCCCGAAATTTTTTTTTGTTTGTTTTGTTTGTTGATGTAGGCACCTGTGATCAGATTAGCAAAGACAGCAAGAAAATAATAGAACAGTACCTTGTTCTAAGAAGAAGATGAACTTAAGCTTTTCAAAGTAAAGAAAACTAAGACTAACTATCTCCGAGCCTTTGCAAAAGATAAGCAAAAGGCATCCCAGCTTCCTAACTGAAAAAGGACTAAAAGCAAAAAGGTTCTGACCCTCTACTCAGGTGCTAACTAACTAAAAGCAGTAAAAGGGAATAATGGGTTCGTTTCCACTAACAAACAACCCAGCCAGAACGTCCCAGGAGACTATTTGTTCCGCAGTCCAGCGTCCTTAAGATGCTCCGCATCATTCTCCTCTGGTGTGAAAATGTCTTTGCCTGTAACGGTGGTGTCTCCGTCTGCCCCCTCTGGTGGATAGTAAGGAAATATGTCTACTACATTGAACGTGTGAGAGGTGTTGAACTCAGCCGGTAAATCAATAACATAAGCGTTATTGTTGATCTTGTGGATTACAGCAAACGACCCGAACTTTTTGCGGCTGAGTTTAGAATATGATCCACTGGGTAGGCGCTCTCGTCGCAGACGCACAAGGACCAATTCATCTGGTTTGTAGATTTTCTCCCTACGGTGAGTATCAGCTTGCTCCTTATATTTGCTGTTGGATTGTTGTAGTTGTAGCCGCACCTTGGCTACATATCAGTGAATTGCTCCGCCAAATTGGAAGCAGCTTTGTTGTGGCATTTCGGAAGGACTGCAATATCAACAATGGTGTTTGGCAATTTAGTATAAACAATGCTAAATGGGCACCTACCCGTCGACCGGTTCGGCATTGAGTTGAAAGCGAATTCAGCTTGCCCCAAGACTTCATCCCATAGCTTAGGATTCTCCTGCACCAAGCAACGCAGCAGATTGCCCAACGTACGATTTACCACTTCGGTTTGCCCGTCCGTTTGAGGGTGATACGACAAACTGAGCTGAATTTGCGTGTTCAATCTCTTCAAAAGTTCCCGCCAAAAATGGCTTATGAACTTAACATCACGATCCGATGTTAATGATCGAGGTATGCCATGTAACCTTACGATCTCTCGGAAGAAGAGCTTTGCTACGTTCAACGCATCAAATGTTTTTTTACATGCTATGAAATGCGCCATTTTTGAAAATCTATCTACAACAACCATGATCGAATCATTACAGCGGCGGGTACGAGGCAAGCCGAGCACAAAGTCTAAGCTCAAATCTTCCCAAAATAAAGTCGGAACTCTCGCATATAATAATTTTTTAAGCACCAAAATGTGGAAAATTAGATGTCGTGCCATTGAGAGAAAAGAGATGTCATTAAAAAAATGCGCATAATGATGTTGTCCTTATCTGAAAAAATTGCATTAAGGAACTCAAGGACATGGAGCCAAATTACCTTAACAGTAATAACTTTAGTGACTTTGATAGATGAAACTTTGTCGGTAATGGAATGAAATGAGCAGATTTGGACACTTATCAATGATAGCCAATATAATGGTACAATCGCATGAGTTTAGTAACCCGATAATATAATTCATTGATATGTCTTCCCACACATTTGGAGAAAGGGAGTGGGAAAAATAAGTATGTTGGTGGATTTTAAGTTTGTTTTATTTATTGAAAAGTTATGCCATTAATGACAGATTTCTTGACAAAAATATGTATTACAATCAGGGGCTAGTGTTCCTCCTAGTTAGGCATCAGGGGCCTTGTCCCGGAATCTTGCCCCCGAATTTTTTTTTTTTGTTTGTGCAAGTGCCTCAATGCTTCAAGCTTAGGCTGGAGACTAAGGGAGGAGTGTTGCAGTGCTCTAAAACCCAACGTCACAGTGCTGCAGGCTGTAGTGTACCGCGACTCTCTAGAGCTCTTCACTACAGTGTAGCAAGCCAGGCTGAGTAATTTTTCTTCCATTTTTATCTTATTTCACTTGAAGAGTTGCATCCTTTGGTATATTGAAAAGCATTTATTTGTCTGTTCTAAGTGTAGAACGGAGATAAAAATAAAGAGAGATAGAGAGAGTGTGAGAAGACAAATTTCTACAAATTCTTCTAGGAGGAGGGGGTTGGGGGTTGCAGGAGGTTTGGGGTTCTTAATGTTTAGGCATCAGGGGCCTTGCCCCCATTTTTTTTTTTTTTTTTTTTTTCATACAAGTATTGTAGTGCTTCATCTTCTGCGGTGCTCTAAAATTCGGCGCCACAATGTTGTAGGTCGTAGTGTACTGTGGCGCTCCCTATTTCTTCCTTTTATTCTTGCTTCACTTGAATAGTTGTTTCCTTTGTTGTAATGAAAAATATTTGCTTGTGTGCTACAAATGTAGAACAAAGAGAGAAGTGAAGAGAGACAATGAGAGAGTGTGAGAAGAAATATTTGTATAGTTTTTCTATATTTTCATAGTGAGTTTCTTAGTGTGATGTGGGTCATAATTTTTCTTCCAAAGTTTCAAAAAATTTCACATCAAATGCTGGGGTTCTTTTCAGATATTTTTCTTTTCTTGGTTGTCTTGTTGCGTTGTTTTACTTCCCAATAATTTTAGACCATTGGAAATTGGAAGTCAATTGAGCTATCACCATGACTTCCCAATGAAGTTGCATGGAATTTACGCAACAGTGTAGCTTACAAACTGCACTATCACTGTTGAGGATGCAATTTTTTAAATAAAGGAGATTATTCCGTAGTTGATGAGTGTCGTATGGCAATTTCCCTGATTCTGACCTTTGTTGAGACTAAAGAAGCTGCGATTCTAAACAAGGAAGAAGCCTCAGCCCAGTGATATACTTAGCTTGGCATCCACAGCCTCAAAAACTCCAGATAGGAACTTTGCTACCAATTTTTTCTTGAGCTTAATGAATTTCACATTCAAATTCTAACAAACTAAAATTTTGATTCAAAATATGAAATTGGTGGTTCCATTGCTGGTGTAGAAGCAAAGGACGACTATCAACATAAAAATTCTAATAAAAAAGACATAATCATTGCAAAGTCACAACAAAATCTTAGTTTTAAGGGATCAAACTTTAAAAAGATTGTGCCTTTCTCTCCATCAACTCCTGCATCAAAATTCCAAGATCATTATAAGAAGACCCTCCCTCCTCCATTGCCTTCCTCGCCAACTCTTTAAGCTCCCTCGCTCTCCTCCTCCTCTCCACTGCATCCTCCCCCTCCCCCATCACACTTCTCACTGTTGCCTCCAAAGCTGATGCATTCACAACCGGTCG